CAACAGAAAACTATGATGTGGGGTCAAATTTGCTTTAAATGTCTAAGCTTATTGTAAGCATGGATCCTAGGTTTCAGTATGTCACTGCATCTCACATACCTGCTACTGACAGATGTTGTGAACTTGCCAATGACTCGTTCCATGATTTGCAAAATGGTTGATTGGTACCATGAAAACCATTTTATGGTTACTCATGTATCAAGTGCATAAGGTTAGACTAAAGTAACTGTTTGCCTACAGAGGGGTTACCATATTATCATTTGTCCAGTTTTAAATGGATACAATTTCAAATTATGAACCTACGTCTAAATACAGTTGTGAAGTTTGTGATCCTTAGCAAAGTGTGAGTAGAATATGAGGTAACATTTGCAACTATGCGCCTGGGCTACTTAGAGAATCACGTGACATACCAGTGAGTTGTGTGCCATTGTATTTCCTTTCAAGACCATATACGGGCATGAATGCTTAATCAAAACAAAGAAATACATTGGAAATATATACCATTTGGACCGATTTGAAAGGAGGACTTAATTGGGTAACGCATGTTGATATGTTATTGTTTGAAACTGGAAGTTTCCTGTGTATGGATATCCAAAGAACTTGGGGATAAGTTACATTTCATGAACATATTACGTAGCAGATGCATTGATATCCAAACTTTGGTAAACATACTTCTGTATTACAGATATTATGGATCATATAAAAAGCATTACTAGAACCTAAATAATATATTGCGTCAACCTTTTAGAAATATAAGCCATCTTTTTGGAAAGGCATTTTTATAGAAAATGATATTTTCACCTAGTGTATTCATATGCTTTGAAACACACATCACCATCACCACCACCACCACCATCACCATCACCATCACCATCACCATCACCATCACCAACACCATCATCACCATCACCATCACCACCACCATCACCATCACCATCACCATCACCAACACCAACACCAAAACCATCACCAACACCATCACCATCAACATCATCATCACCACCACCATCACCATCATCACCATCACATCACCATCACCATCACCATCACCATCAACATCAACATCATCATCACCACCACCACCATCAACACCATCACCAACACCAACACCATCACCATCACCATCACCATCACCATCACCATCACCATCACCACCACCAACACCATCATCACCATCACCATCACCACCACCATCAACATCATCATCACCACCACCATCACCACACCACCATCACCATCACCATCACCATCATCATCACCATCACCATCACCGCCACACCACCACCTTTCATCACCATCACCATCACCATTCAAACATTATTTCAAACGTTCCAGCTGACACGTTTCCATTCAATTTCCGGAGATGGAAATTATTAAGAATTTGTACAATTTCAAATATTTTGAGCACGTTTGGTATATATACTATTCACACCTTGCTAAGGATCAAATCATGGATTCAACAGAAAACTATGATGTGGGGTCAAATTTGCTTTAAATGTCTAAGCTTATTGTAAGCATGGATCCTAGGTTTCAGTATGTCACTGCATCTCACATACCTGCTACTGACAGATGTTGTGAACTTGCCAATGACTCGTTCCATGATTTGCAAAATGGTTGATTGGTACCATGAAAACCATTTTATGGTTACTCATGTATCAAGTGCATAAGGTTAGACTAAAGTAACTGTTTGCCTACAGAGGGGTTACCATATTATCATTTGTCCAGTTTTAAATGGATACAATTTCAAATTATGAACCTACGTCTAAATACAGTTGTGAAGTTTGTGATCCTTAGCAAAGTGTGAGTAGAATATGAGGTAACATTTGCAACTATGCGCCTGGGCTACTTAGAGAATCACGTGACATACCAGTGAGTTGTGTGCCATTGTATTTCCTTTCAAGACCATATACGGGCATGAATGCTTAATCAAAACAAAGAAATACATTGGAAATATATGGACATTTAACTAATTTTATATTTCAGGCGATCGGTAACACGTTAGAGTCTGTAAACAAGTCACATCTCATTAAGGTGGACAAAGTTAATTCGCGAGGAACATCTATTTGCTTGTAGCCACGGGGAAAACCATTGTAGATTTATTTGCAACTTTACCACAGAGAAATATTTCATGAAGAACTATTACGACAAAAACGTATTGATTTTAATACAAAACATTAAGTGCCTACTTTTATGCGATATTCCTAACTCAACGATATTCCTAGTTAATATTTATATGAACATTTTGCTTCTACTATAACGTTCATAAAAACATGCAGGCCATGACACTTTGAGTATCGATCATCGCAAGGTTTAAGTGGGATACGATGGCGTGCATCCAACAAGACCACCGGTCACATTAGTACCCTCTTACGACAACATGGGTTGCTGAAGAACAATGTTTACCCTGATTGTTAGGGGTCCAGCATATTTGTGAATCTGTGAGGATGGTTAATGGATATATGCATAGTTAGTCTCATGGCATGGATTGTAGGTCATTCCCAATGCTATTATAGACAACACAATGTATGTCGTCAGTATCAATTGTTCTCTGCATTAGTCGTACCTCACAGAGGGAATTGTCAAGTTTCATATCATCACCATCAGCTATTCAATACACCACAGATGTTGGTATAGACGGTGGCAGAAGAGTTAGATGCATTAGAAATAAGTTTTCGCGGATAACCTTGAAATCGTATGTACATATTGACAGTAGTGGGTGACCTCGCCTAGATGAATACTACCACGCCAACTGTCGTTCATTTCCCGATGTCAGTATGTCGCATGAATAAGTTGTCAGTCAAGCAGAGAGTTAATGAATTGACAATAGAGAGCGCCTCATGGAATTGGATCACTTGAATCACTATCTTCATCAGCTGGTGAAGGTCAACAATACAAAGTTCTAAAATATTGACCGACCTCGCCCAGATGTACACTATGAAATTGGCACTACTGTTGTCAGCTGCATTGTTCCAACAGACATTATGAAGCCACCAGCTGTGATCAGCGGAGGGGGTGTTTAAAAATTTGCAAATGTTTCCCCACCTAAAGAAATACTTATGTTTCAACCCTAAGCCTTTCGGATGAGTGTGTAATATTTCTTTTATAATGTGTTGATGGTTGCTGGTGTAAAATACTGTTGTATAAGTGTAAATATGCACATTCTTGCTGTAACCTCTTTTTGATTCGGCCTCCAGACATTTTCCCATACGGACGTGTTTTCAGAAAAACTTCAGTTAACCGCCGGAATATACCCCACGCCTATTTTGATTCATGTCTTGGATAGAAAATGGAAAATGATAGTGAATGCAGTTATTTCACAAACTTAGATAACTATGCAGGCCATGCATCGTAAATATCGTCTAATGTCCACTTTCAAGTTGACGATCGAGTTCGTATCAATGAGAGGTGAAAAACAGGAAAAAAAACATGCGTCTCACAAAAAAAGTCTTACAAAAATAGCCTTAATCATAGTCACAATGAAGCGTAGATTGTTATGTGTTTTTGAATAAGTTTTGTTGTTTTTGCTTCTACCCATCCCCCCAACACCCCTCAATGACATGGGTCTCCAGGTCACGGAGTGTCAGTTCTGACCTGGGTCAGGGGCCCTGATTGTTATTCTCATATGTTTGCATGTGTTGATGAAGCGATGTGAAATGATCGGACTCGTACCACGGATTCAGCTATGGTATCGTACCTGCTCGATGTCCACGTGTTCTCGGGTTGTGAATTGTCCGTCTACTGCATCTCATGGCATGTGCAACAACCACTGCACACTGGCAAACCTGGAGCAGGCCAATTGCACGTTCACATTTGTTAGGCTTGGCATGAGATTTGTGTCTCTCTCGAAGATTGTTAAAGATTTTTTGTCTTATCACCAATAAATTCTGCACAGGTGTTGGTGGTTAGGCACATGAAACTGTGGTCACGTGACCCCTCACACGTGCAGGGTCGTGTTTTCACAAAAAAACATTTTGCATTCACCACGCGTGGTTCACTACAATCCATGTCAACAGTAATTCTCGCAGTTAACGACAATACTGTGTTGAATACATTTTGAGTCGATGAATGAATAAAAAACAGGATTAATGAACTAGTTATCTAGCCACAAATTATGAATGTGTTTATCTATCTATTATACTCCCTCAAGTTAATTTTTTAAAACATTTCTGTAAATCATAAAGTGGTGTATCGAAAACAAATGGATGCAGCCCTGTTTCCATAACAACCATCTCATCACGAAATGATTATTTTCAAGGGTGTTATTTGCTATAAATAGAACATAATTCACACAATGATTAAAAGACGCTTTATTAAGACAATATTGGATAAGTGGGTTTCAGTTTAAGGCCACAGTAAGAAGATAATTGAGTGAATGAGTTTGGTTTTTACGCCGCTTTCAGCAATATTCCAGCAATATCACGGAAGGGGACACCAGAAATGGGCTTCACACATTGTACCCATGGGGAATCGAACCCGGGTCGTTGACGTGACGAGCAAACGCTTTAATCACTAGGCTACCCCACCGCCCCTTATTAATATAAATTACATCGTGACCTTTCAGTGTTGTCATCCATGGTAACACGGAGGGATACGCGGTTATGTTCCTTTTTCAATAATGAGGGTAACTCGAGATTCGAACTGATGAACAAATAACGAAGGGGCCAACATTCGGCTACTAGAAACCGCCTTGCCAATACAGATGTGAAGATCACAGGCAGACATAGAAATCTATACGTTAAGTACTGATGACAGGCAGTCAAATGGGAACCCACGTGTTACACTTGCCATTTTGCGAACACCTGGTATCTTCACTATGCCATGCTCTGTCATTGTATCGTATGGTGACGATCACTGGATTGTCCGGTTCAGACACGAATTGTTTACATATAACATTGAACAGCTGTAATACTGCGGACATAAATATCTGCTCATGATATAGTCACAATTGTACAATCGACGCTGCTTTTCTTATGCATGTGGAAAGGGTTTTGTAGTTTCTGTACTAATGACAGCAACAATTCTTGGAACCCACGTGTTAAGCACGGATGACAGGCAGACACTTGGGAACCACGTGTTAAGTACTGGTGACAGGAAGACATTTTGGAACCACATGTTAAGTACGGATGAAAGGCAGACACTTGGGAACCAAATGTTAAATACGGATGAAAGGCAGGCACTTGGGAACCACGTGTTAAGTACGGATGAAGGACAGACACTTGGGAACCACGTGTTAAGTACGGATGAAAGGCAGACACTTGGGAACCACATGTTAAATACGGATGAAAGGCAGACACTTGGGAACCACGTGTTAAGTTCGGATGACAGGCAGACACTTGGGAACCACGTGTTACGTACGGATGAAAGGCCGACACTTGGTAACCACATGTTAAGTCCGGAAGAAAGGCAGACACTTGGGAACTACATGTTATGTCCGGATGAAAGGCAGACACTTGCGAACCATGTGTTAAGTACTGGTGACAAGAAGACATTTTGGAAGCACATGTTCAGTACGGATGAAAGACGGACACTTGGGAACCACATGTTAAATACGGATGAAAGGCAGGCACTTGGGAACCACGTGTTAAGTACGGATGAAAGGCAGACACTTGGGAACTACATGTTATGTCCGGATGAAAGGCAGGCACTTGGGAACCACGTGTTAAGTACGGATGAAAGGCAGACACATGGGAACTACTCTCTTACGTCTGGATGAAAGGCAGACACTTGGGAACTACATGTTATGTCCGGATGAAAGGCAGACACTTGGGAACTACATGTTATGTCCGGATGAAAGGCAGACACTTGCGAACCATGTGTTAAGTACTGGTGACAGGAAGACACTTGGGAAGCACATGTTAAGTACGGATGAAAGACGGACACTTGGGAACCACATGTTAAGTACGGATGAAAAGCAGACGCTTGGGAACCACATTATAAGTCCAGATGAAAGGTATACACTTGGCAACCACATGTTAAGTCCGGGTGAAAGGCAGACACTTGGGAACCACGTGTTAAGTTCGGATGACAGGCAGACACTTGGAAACCACGTGTTAAGTACGGATGAAAGGCAGACACTTGGGAACCATATCTTAAGTCCGGATGAAAAGCAGACACTTGGGAACCACGTGTTATGTTCGGATGAAAGGCAGACACATTGGAACCACATGTTAAGTACGGATTAAAGGCAGTCACTTTTGAACCACATGTTAAGTCCGGATGAAAGGCAGACACTTCGGAAACAAATCTTAAATCCGGGTGAAAGGCAGACACTTTGGAACCACGTGTTAAGTTTGGATGAAAGGCAGACACTTGGGAACCACGTGTTAAGTCCGGATGAAAGGCAGTCACTTGGCAACCACATGTCTAGTACGGATTAAAGGCAGACACTTGGGAACTACATGTTAAGTCCGGATGAAAGGCAGACACTTGGGAACCACGTGTTAAGTACTGGTGAATGGAAGACATTTTGGAACCACATGTTAAGTACGGATGAAAGACGGACACTTGGGAACCACATGTTAAATACGGATGAAAGGCAGACACTTCGGAACCACATCTAAAGCCCAGATGAAAAGCAGTCGCTTGGGAACAACATGTTAAGTACGGATGAAAGGCAGATACTTGGGAATCACGTGTTAAGTACGGATGAAAGGCAGACACTTGGGAACTACATGTTAGGTACGGTTGAATGATGAAAGGCAGACGCTTGGGAACCACGTGTTAAGTACGGATGAAAGACAGACACTTGGGAACCACGTGTTAAGTACGGATGAAAGGCAGACACTTGGGAACCACGTGTTAAGTCCGGATGATAGGCAGACACTTGGGAACCACGTGTTAAGTTCGGATGAAAGGCAGACACTTAGGAATCACATGTTAAGTCCGGATGAAAGGCAGACATTTAAGAATCACATCTTAAGTCCGGATGAAATGCAGATACTTGGAAACCACGTGTTAAGTACGGTTGAAAGGCAGACACTTGGGAACCACGTGTTAAGTACGGATGAAAGGCAGACACTTAGGAACCACGTGTTAAGTCCGGATGAAAGGCAGACACTTGGGAACTACAGGTTAAGTCCGGATGAAAGGCAGACACTTGGGAACTACATGTTAAGTCCGGATGAAAGGCAGACACTTTGGAACCACATCTTAAGTCCGGATGATAGGTAGACACTTGGGAACCACGTGTTAAGTACGGATGAAAGGCAGACACTAGGGAATCACATGTTAGGTCCGGATGAAAGGCAGACACTTGGGAATCACATGTTAAGTCCGGATGAAAGGCAGATACTTGGAGACCACGTGTTAAGTACGGTTGAAGGGCAGACACTTGGGAACCACGTGTTAAGCACGGATGAAAGGCAGACACATAGGAACCACGTGTTAAGTCCGGATGAAAGGCAGACACTTGGGAACTACAGGTTAAGTCCGGATGAAAGGCAGACACTTGGGAACCACATCTTAAGTCCGGATGAAAGGCAGACACTTGGGAACCACGTGTTAAGTACGGATGGAAGGCAGACACTTGGGAAATACAGGTTAAGTCTGGATGAAAGGCAGACACTTCGGAACCACATCTTAAGTCCGGATGAAAGGCAGACACTTGGGAACTACATGTTAAGTCCGGATGAAAGGTAGACACATGGGAACAACATGATAAGTACGGATTAAAGGCAGACACTTGGGAACCACAGGTCTAGTACGGATTAAAGGCAGACACTTGGGAACTACATGTTAAGTCCGGATGAAAGGCAGACACTTCGGAACCAAATCTTTAGTCCGGGTGAAAGGCAGACACTTTGGAACCACGTGTTAAGTTTGGATGAAAGGCAGACACTTGGGAACCACATCTTAACTCCGGATGAAAAGCAGACACTTGGGAACCACGTGTTAAGTCCGGATTAAAGGCAGTCACTTGGTAACCACATGTCTAGTTCGGATTAAAGGCAGACACTTGGGAACTACATGTTAAGTCCGGATGAAAGGCAGACACTTGGGAACCACGTGTTAAGTACTGGTGACAGGAAAACATTTTGGAACCACATGTTAGGTACGGATGAAAGACGGACACTTGGGAACCACATGTTAAATACGGATGAAAGGCAGACGCTTGGGAACCACATGTTAAGTCCGGATGAAAGGCAGACACTTGGGAACCACATGTTTAGTCCGGATGAAAGGTAGACACTTAGGAACCACATGTTATGTCCGGATGAAAGGCAGACACTTGGGAACTACATCTTAAGTCCGGATGATAGGCAGACACTTGGGAACCACGTGTTAAGTCGGGATGAAAGGCAGATACTTGGGAATCACATGTTAAGTCCGGATGAACGGCACACACATGGGAACCACGTGTTAAATACGGATGAAAGGCAGACACTTGGGAACCACATCTAAAGCCCTGATGAAAAGCAGACACTTGGGAATCACATCTTAAGTCCGGATGAAAGGCAGACACTTGGGGACCACGTGTTAAGTACGGATGAAAAGCAGACACTTGGGAACTACATGTTAAGTCCGGATGAAAGGCAGACACTTGGTAACTACATGTTAAGTCCGGATGAAAGGCAGACACTTGGGAACCACGTGTTAAGTACGGATGAAAGGCATACACTTTGGAACCACATCTTTAAGTCCGGATGAAAGGCAGACACTTTGGAACCCATGGGTGATGGCAGTACCAGCTGGATGGCTCACGATACCGCTTTAAGCCGAACCGTTTGACGGCTTTATAATACAGCATAGCGAAAGCTTGACACAGTTTTCTCTTGAGCCAACTCATGTCGCTACAAGTTCGGTACATGTGTCCGTGAAACACTTGGTCGCATATGTACCTGGTTATTTTGTATCTGTACCCCTGGAACGAATTAGAAATGAACAAATAAGATGGGTTGTCACTGTAGCAGTAAGTAGTATTTCGAGGTATTGTTACGGTGGGTAAGTTGGGTTTTGTTGTTGGAGGAGACTTTAAGCGACACCGTGAGCTGAAATGCTTTGAGTAACAGCATGATGAAGATTTTCTCATTGTATAATATACCATTACATATTTATTAAATCTCATATGGTATGGAAAACCTAAAATATTTTATGGTCAAATTGATTATTAGTTTTTGAATTAGTTAGTTGAATGAAATAAGTTGCGGGAATGTGACATTTTCAAAACGATCTTGACGACTTCACGTAAGATTACGAGTTGAATGTACATCATGTCATTATCAATGGATTGTCTGGTCCAGATTCGATTAAATGAAACGCTGCCGTCATATTACTGGATTATTGCTGGAGCATTGCTGTGTATGTAGTGATGTTATCTGAGGCTCCTTGTGATATGTGACCATGTGATAGATGTTTTAGTACTGGCAAAGCAACGAAACATCTCATTTTGCAATATCACCTACTTAAGACATTTCTAATTGGAAATCAAAGATATGAAAAATCAGCTGAGCTTCCGCTTTAGGACATTACTTGAACATATTTGAATTGCCATTTAATTGAAAGATATGATCTCATATCCAAAAGATGCTACTTGCCCGGTTACTAAGGTTAGGCTCTAAGATAATGTGGACATCCTACACTGAGAACTACTATGATTGACAACCAGATTTCACTCACACATCTATAACACATGTCGTGGCGATTACAGGCTGGCGTGAACGTCGTCTTGAAGAAGAACGGGAGCCGGAGCGGTGTGCTGCAACCATTGACGTCGTACCGAGCACAAACGCCACTTGACGTCACCGACACTACCCCTAATGCAACGCTCAACCCCTGAATTAGTTGAATGTATACTGAAATGGAAATATAAATAATGATACAAGATGCAATAATTCATATGATATAAAACATAAAATTTACATTAAAACATAAATAAACTCTTTCCTGGTTGATGAGTAAATAGCGTTTTTATTCTTAGAAATCGGTGTGCAGTTCCCAAGAACTCAATTGAGCTGTTTCGGCAGGGAAATGGCTGGGGTGCGATGAGTTGATGAGATTTAGTCCGGATTTAATGCCGATTATATTGTGTTACCCCGCTGAGTAGCGATTCCGCTGTTTTACAAGGATGCCCTACTCCAAGCCAGCAAGTCTTTGTTCAAACCCCTTAATGCAGAGCTCCAGGCAGGGTAAAAAACAATACCACATTTTAACGTCTTTTCGCAGGATGTGGTTCGAACTATCTGTGGGCTGGGTAATGACATCTTTATCTGGACTCTGGATGAAAATGTTAGGGGTAACCTTATGGTACTGGAAGCAGTGAACATTCAACGCCAGAACACACAGTTGGACAGCTACATTCCACCTACACAGGCACACAAACATAAACACGAACACGGACACAGTCAGTGACACGAAAACAAACACGGACAGTCCGTAACACACACATAAAGACAAGATCGATCGATCTCTCTCTCTCTCACTCTCACACTCTCTCTCTCTCTTCCTCTCTCTCTCTCTCTCTCTCTCTCTCTCTCTCTCTCTCTCTCTCTCTCTCTCTCTCTCTCTCTCTCTCTCTCTCTCTCTCTCTCTCTCTCTCTCTCTCTCTCTCTCTCTCAAGGATACGGTCAGTGACACGGTCACACACGAACACGGTCAGTCAGTAAAACACACACACGAACACGGACAGTCAGTAAAACACACACACGAACACGGACAGTCAGTAAAACACACACACGAACACGGACAGTCAGTAAAACACACACACGAACACGGACAGTCAGTAAACACACACACACGAACACGGACAGTCAGTAAAACACACACACGAACACGGACAGTCAGTAAACACACACACACGAACACGGACAGTCAGTAAAAACACACACACGAACACGGACAGTCAGTAAAACACACACACGAACACGGACAGTCAGTAAAACACACACACGAACACGGACAGTCAGTAAAACACACAAACACACACACACGAACACGGACAGTCAGTAAACACACACACGAACACGGACAGTCAGTAAAACACACACACGAACACGGACAGTCAGTAAAACACACACACGAACACGGACAGTCAGTAAAACACACACACGAACACGGACAGTCAGTAAAACACACACACGAACACGGACAGTCAGTCACACGGACACACAAACACACACACAAAACACACACACGAACACGGACAGTCAGTAAAACACACACACGAACACGGACAGTCAGTAAAACACACACACGAACACGGACAGTCAGTAAAACACACACACGAACGCTGACAGTCAGTAAAACACACACACGAACACGGACAGTCAGTAAAACGCACACACGAACACGGACAGTCAGTAAAACACACACACGAACGCTGACAGTCAGTCACACGGACACACAAACACACACACGAACACACGCGCGAGAACACGTACAAGTACGCTCATACGGACACACGCAAGCTCACACGGAGAAACACGTACATGCCATTATGAGCCCTGTTACAATAGCTGCTCTTCAGAGGCAACTGAGATGGAATCTAATGGTGAGTTTCAGTCGTTCCTTTCATTGCGTTTACATTCCCTCACACAGTCCCAATCTACTCAGGTAGGGTAGCCTAGTGGTTAAAACGTTCGCTCGTCACGCCAAGATACGGGTTTGATTCCCACATGGGTACAATGATTGTGTGAAGCCCATGTCTGGTGTCCCCCGCCGTGATATTGCTGGAATATTGCTAAAAGTCCAGAGTTATGTGAGTGACAACGCAACTGGTGAAAACTAACAGTAACAAGATAAACAATCTGTTTCATTATTAATGATAAGATGCGAAACAACCATTTGCAATTGTCAAATGCCATATTTAACCACTCTGGGGCTTTACCGGGAAGTTGACACGGAAACTATCACCACACCAAGACAGAAATTACATATATCACACACAAATTGCCCTATTTTTCTAACACTTCTTCACTAACACGCGGTTAACGCTGATTCTAAGTTGTAAGAACAATGGCAGTCTCTGAGAGAAATGTCAGTGTAAAATAATGAACATAATTAGTGCTGTCAGCTCTGACCTACATGAAAACCAACGCTTCAAAGGATTGAAGGGCATTATGTTATTATTTTTCAATAATTGTTTTCAGGACCTATCTAGTCCTACAGTGAGGCTACGTTGCCCGTTCTAAAGCCAATTACTGGTGGAAGTCGAGAAGTTGTGTGTTAAACCGATGCTTGTCTCTGCGGTATTAGTCTAAACACATGAGACATGACATAACGATGGTTTTAATTTGCTTTGATCAAACGTACAAAAGGCGCCACACAAGAACATAGTACCCTCAAATATACTCCTGTCCAACACTTTATGGATATCAGTTGTGTTAATTTGTTTTGCTTTACTGCAACCTAAATATTTACTTGAAAAATAATATCCTCATCTATCGTTGCATCTGAACAAATGTAAATTCAATAGCCAGGAATAACATGTACTTAAAATCTAATATACAATATTCATTACATTCGTAACCAAGTACATGACAGCACCAGCATATATGAATACGTACTGGTCAGTTATACAAAGTATTTATAACCACAACACGCTACAACAACAGCTTACCGTGCATCCTGTGTACAACTGTAGCGCGTCGTCGCTGCTTTGTGTGCTTGGTCACGTGTTCTTTAGACCCGCGTCCATTCTCATGTCAATGTCGAAGCTGACACAAGTCTTTGTCTCGTGTTCAGCATGTGCGCAAAAACACTTCCCAAGTCCAGCAGGTGACAGATGTAGACATCCCTGGTAGTAAGTGATGAGGAGAGGTCTGTCCGGTCCAGCAGAAACACGGAGACTGGCGTTAAGCTTAAGGAGACAGCGTCACTTCCCTGTTCGAGTGAGAGTAGACAGTTCATTCGCACACAACTCACCGCGTTAAACTTATAGAAACATCGCGGAAGTAAGCGTTAACCACACACATACTCATGTACACACTCGCACATGCGCACATACTTACATGCACGCACACATGCACACAAGCGAGCGCGCGCACACACACACACACATGCACACACACACACATACACACACATGCAGATATATACAGCGGTTTATGTACAGTATCACATGCCTCAAATTTTTAAAACTATTTTTAACAAGTTACAACAAGTATGAGATTAAGAACTGGCAAGGTTTGCAAAGTTATCTCCCTTGTCTGTCGACATGGACGCTCAGCTTCACAGATGCAGTACCAATGTAAACATACTGGATACTGAGGGGGGGGGGAGGCGAAAGTAGTCATTCCTTCAAGAATATTGGCAATCATAGGGTATCTTGATTTAACTGCATACTACGGAGTGAGTGAGTGTGAGTGAGTTTGGTTTTACGCCGCTTTTAGCAATATTCCTGTAATATCAAGGCGGGGGACACCAGAAATGAGCTTCACACATTGTACCCATGTGGGGAATCGAACCTGGGTCTCCGGCTTCAGTCCAACATACATCATTTGTTATATCTAGTAATTAATTATTCTATTGTAATGTTTTAAGTTGTTGAATATTTGCGTATTTGTTAGTTTTCATTAATTATGAAATAATATCTTGTTTCAAGAGATTTGAAAACTTAGGACCTTCCAAGCTGCATTGCGCCTCCTTTGATGTTATTTTTTCGCGCATGCTGTAAATAGGTAATTCCAGTGAAGAAGAGTGAGTGACTTAGTAGTTTTACGCCGCTTCTGAAATATTCCAGCAATATCACGATGGGGACACCAGAAATGTGCTCCACACATTGTATCCATGTGGGGACTCGAACGCGGGTCTTCGGCTTGACCAGCGAACGCATTAACCACTATGCTACCCCACCGCCCCCAGTGAGGAAGAGATCAGGTCAGCCACTGTTGAGAAACGTTATGTAAACGTTAATATTACATGCCAGTTTCTGTAGAAAAATGGGTTTAAATAAGGACATGCCCTACAGTCATGTTTTCACTGTGAGTGGACGTAGGGTATTTATCAACTTTTGAAATGTCACTCTTCAAACGTACCTTCTGTTTTCTTTAATAATGCATGATTCAAAGGAGTAGCCGCACAGCAAGGTCACACGTACAATAGGCGAAATCGCGCAAAGTTCGATGCATGGGAAGAGTTGGTGAGTTGAATTACAACGTTGGAAGTCGCTTTCATAAAAACATCGGGGCGGTGGGGTAGCCCAGTGGTTAAAGCGTTCGCTCGTCATGCTGAAGACCCGGGTTCGATTTCCCACACGGGTACAATGCGTGAAGCCCATTTCTGGTGTCCCCCGCTGTGATATTGCTGGAATATAGCTAAAAACGGTGTAAAACCAAACTCACTCACACATAAATACATCGCTTCTGTGCCATTTATTCGTCGGTATAGTATGCGGCAAACGGACCTACGGTGTGGAGAATGTCAGATTGCACGTGCGCTTCACATGCACGTGCACGCTTCCTTGCATAAAAAAATGTTTCTTCGATCGCTTCCAATGTGCAGCCGGCTGTACACGATAGTACCAAACCAACCATGATGTCGTAAAGATCGACACCTACCATGCGGAACACGTAGTTGTATGTATTCTACAGGGCTTTCAGCGCATCTAAATGTTAATGAGTGAGGGAATATGAACTGAATTTAATTGAACAAAATTTGATATTATGATACGGTATGTGTGAGATGGTCATCTCCTGACCTTAGTAACAATTGGATGTTAAGATTTTCTGACCGTTTAAGCCAGGGGCCAGCGGTTATTGGTACCACCCGTCTCCCATGGCAACAACAGTAAACCTTAATACTATTTATAGCACATTCTCTGAGAGTCACCTTGCAGCAAGGATACGTTTTCCTATCATGCTCAACGCGAACCTTCAGTCAGTTTTCTCCGCCCGTGTTACAGTGAAGGTCGTAATCCTGAGGTAACCACACACAGTCGTTGCTGTAGTCATATCTCATGTCACATGACATTGAGTGCAAACAAATACTCAGGTGAGCATGACACCGACCTGTGAGAGATTGTGGCGCATGAAGTTTAAACAAGGTAGATAGGTGTGTTCCTAGGAAGATTGTCCGCGACCCTGTCAATACTGGATTACCTCCACAATGTGACACAGTGTCACAGCCTGGCTCCACTGTGATGTCCCGTCTTCTCATCACTGCTTGTCCAACATTCCTTTTGTAAGGAGCACTACTTATCGACAACTAAAAGGTAACGCAATTCCTACAGCATTGATGCATGGTTGGTTAACTACAATTTTTGTCATCGTTGACGGGGAACATTGAAAATAATTCACTTATCACTGCAGCTCAGTGAACGACATAGTCCGCCATTGAAGGCTGTATTCGGTTATGTATGATTATATATTCTGCACAGGTGGATTGCTTTCCCTCGGGTAAATATGTGCTTAGTATCTATGAATATCAATTGTACTTCGGACATATAAAAGCTATGAGAGAACTGTAGATTTATATGTTTTCAGATAGGAAGGTTATAAAACGCCCGATCACAGGTGTATATATCTGCGGGTGAGACCTTTTAATTATAACATGCCGTTCAACAGGTGTATATGTCAGAACTGTAGTCATAACATGCCGTTCAACAGGAATATATGTGAGAATTGTAACTATAGCATGCCGTTCAACAGGTGTATATGTGAGAATTGTAATTATACCACGCCGTTCAACAGATGTATATGTGATAACTGTAATTATAACATGCCGTTGAACAGGTGTGTATGCGAGAACTTTAAATATAACACGCCATTCAACAGGTGTATATGTGAGAACTGTAATTTTAACACGTCGTTCAACAGGTGTATATGTGAGACCTGTAGTCATAACATGCCGTTCAACAGGTGTTTATGTCAGATCTGTAATTATGGCATGCCGTTCGACAGGTGTGTATGTGAGAACTTTAATTATAACACGCCGTTCAACAGGTGTATATGTGAGAATTGTAATTATAACATGCCGTTCAACAGGTGTATATGTGAGAATTGTAACGATAGCATGCCGTTCAACAGGTGAATATGTCAGAACTGTAGTCATAACATGCCGTTCAACAGGTGTAGATGTCAGATCTGTAATTATGGCATGCCGTTCAACAGGTGTATATCTGAGAGTTGGGATTATAACATGCCGTTCAATAGGTGTATATGTGAGAGTTGGGATTATAACATGCCGTTCAACAGGTGTATATGTGAGAACTTTAATTATAACATGCCTTTCCACAGGTGTATATGTGAGAATTGTAATTATAACATGCCGTTCAACAGGTGTATATGTGATAACTGTAATTATAACACTGAGCTGAACAGGTGTATATATGTGCAGGTGAGAGCTGGAAATGTAACACGGCGTTCAACACGCCGTTCTCACACATATACCTTTATTTTATGCAGGTGAGAACTGTAACTTTAACACGCATGTGTTATAGTTTATATCTACAACTGCGGTTTGGTTTTCTAGCACAGGTGTACATATCTGCAGGTTGTAACGCAGAATTAGCTTTAGGTTTAACACCTTTTCATTCAGTTGGCACTCGAATCCGCTTTTGTCAACAACGTAAGTGTCCTACGTAATAAATCACAGTATGCGTTACACAAGTCACGTAATCTAACTTATACCTTGCCTGAAGCTTGCCTAGGTCATCGGTCCCGTCAAACCAGTCCAGCGGAAATAGGCAGCCTGATATCAATATCTGACTACTAATTCATTACCGAAAATTGACACAGAGCCTAATACTAGCATATGGGTCGTTTTTACACGATATCTAATACTAGAATATGGGTCGTTTTCACACGATATCTAACACTAGCATATGGGTCGTTTTTACACGATATCTAATACTAGAATATGGGTCGTCTTTACACGATATCTAATACTAGAATATAGGTCGTTTTTACACGATATATAATACTAGCATATGGGTCGTTTTTACGCGATATCTAATACTAGAATATGGGTCGTCTTTAAACGATATCTAATACTAGAATATAGGTCGTCTTTAAACGATATCAGATGTCATGTTTCACGTACATTCGTTGCTATAGAGGACAGTTATTTTCTCCACACTCAGTCTTGTGCACTGTGTCAGCCAAAGGAACGGAAGGAAGTCCTGCTGCCCTTCCCACTGGTGTGCTCAACAGAGACCGATAACTTGTCAGTTGTCATTAATGATCCATTACTCTTTGTTGTATGACCCGTGAAGATCCGGGTTAGAATTGATCGTCAGTAACTTGTTCCATTTACACTAGCATGTCTGACATCAAGTCATGCCGGGAAGATCCGGGTTAGAATTGATCGTCAGTAACTTGTTCCATTTACACTAGCATGTCTGACATCAAGTCATGCCGGGAAGACCCGGGTTAGAATTGATCGTCAGTAACTTGTTCCATTTGCACTAACATGTCTGACATCAAGTCATGCCGGGAAGATCGGGGTTAGAATTGATCGTCAGTAACTTGTTCCATTTGCACTAACATGTCTGACATCAAGTCATGCCGGGAAGACCCGGGTTAGAATTGATCGTCAGTAACTTGTTCCATTTGCACTAACATGTCTGACATCAAGTCATGTCGGGAAGATCCGGGTTAGAATTGATCGTCAGTAACTTGTTCCATTTACACTAGCATGTCTGACATCAAGTCATGCCGGGAAGATCCGGGTTAGAATTGATCTTCAGTAACTTGTTCCATTTTGCACTAGCATGTCTGACATCAAGTCATGCACAATTCATCGATTGTTTAAATAATACTGGCTCCAGATGTCACGCTGCAAAACAATAGAGGAGAAACCTGAACGCAGTCATAGGAACTGCACTACATATAGTTTTTATTTAATTATGGAATATTGTATATCTCGTCACCTGACACACAATCGCTGAACATCACGATCCCTAATTAACGAAGACAACTGCAGGTGAATTTGAATAATGTTTACTTCCTGATTGTAATGTACGTACGCCATGATGATTTTGAGATTTAATTCCGACATAATGAGTCCTGTGAAGATCCGAGTTAGAATTGAGTGTCTGAGTGATTGAGTTCAGATATTGGATTACTGCTGAGTGCGGTGTAAAAGTCACTCACTCACTCCGACATAGTGCGTATTTTCCACACGGGACGTTTGTTGCTCCCACTGTTAAGTATAGCTGATGCTCGCTCACGTGATCAAACCTCAATGATGATTTTACGAGTTTTGTTTCTGTAAATAATAGGGACAGTAGTGCGATTACAAGGATTATTCAAAACCTTAATACATGTATTGCGTATAATAACATTATGGTCATTCACGCCTTGTTTTACAGCAATATATAGGCGATGTACTTAAGATGAACATGAACTCATGAAATAGGCTTCTCAGTCAATGTGCAGAATAGAACTGGGCCCTGTGGCCTAAAGACAAACGTTTACCACAAAGTTACCCCACCGAGCCAACATGGTATGAATGTTGAAATAAAAGTTATAAAATGAGTGAATTCCTTTGGGCACCACTCTTATGTGGATTGGAGCTAATCTAACGCGGACTTCGAATGTCGGGTTAGTAAATGAGATTGGTGTTAACTGTATTAGGCTGTATTTCTCCACCATTTCTCAGCTTAATGCTGATGGAAAGCCCAGAATGACGCAGGTCTAACTGTAAAAGCTCTGTGCAGCAAACCAATTCATCGGTGTTGGATTCTACCGATGCCGAATATCACAACACGGCATCACCCAGTTCACATGATGTCAGCTGTCACAACACAATCTAGACCGGCACTCATATTCCCACCAACACGTGTGACTAACACATGATACATCTCAGCTCATTTTGCGCATATTAAAAGCAAATATCATTTCCACAGTTGCTGTAGTTGACGATGAAGGTAGCAGTAGTAGGTGCTGGAGTTGTTGGTCTGTCAACCGCTATCAACATCCTGGAGAATGTCCCAGGGGTTGATGTTACCGTCATCGCCGACAAGTTTGAAGAAGAGACAACCAGCAGTGGGGCAGGCGGCCACTTCCGGCCAAACCTCAACCACATCGATGGTGTACCGAAGGCTACACTCAAGTACGTATAGAATGACCACATAACTGATATTGGTTACCTGCTGGCTGTGTGCTCTCTGTGCGTGTGATTGGTGTTCCTGAAGGGTCACCTCTGTGCTGGGTGTTGTGGGTGTACTTTAGGAGGTGACTGTGGTGTACTGTGTGTATGTAGACATGATATGATGTACGGTGTTGGTACACTGTTATATATACGTACACGGGGTCTACTTTATTGCCCACACGTACACGGGGTTCGCTTTATCAGTCTACACGGGTCTGCTTTATTGCCCACACGTACACGGGGTCTGCTTTATTGCCCACACGTACACGGGGTCTGCTTTATTGCCCACACGTACACGGGGTCTGCTTTATTGCCCACACGTACACACGGTCTGCTTTATTGCCCACACGTACACGGGGTCTGCTTTATTGCCCACACGTACACACGGTCTGCTTTATTGCCCACACGTACACACGGTCGTCTACTTTATTGCCCACACGTACACGTACACACGGGGTCTGCTTTATTGCCCACACGTACACGGGGTCTGCTTTATTGCCCACACGTACACACGGTCTGCTTTATTGCCCACACGTACACACTGTCTGCTTTATTGCCCACACGTACACACGGTCTGCTTTATTGCCCACACGTACACACGGTCGTACACACGGTCTGCTTTATTGCCCACACGTACACACGGTCTGCTTTATTGCCCACACGTACACACGGTCTGCTTTATTGCCCACACGTACACACTGTCTGCTTTATTGCCCACACGTACACACGGTCTGCTTTATTGCCCACACGTACACACTGTCTGCTTTATTGCCCACACGTACACATGGTCTGGTTTGATATAAAAAATGATGCACGTGCACACAATCTTTTTTATTTGGGAAGACAGTAGTACTTGGGTTCCCTATCTGGTAGGAGTGACTAAGTATGGTTTACGCCGCTTTTTAACAATATACCACCAATATCACGGCGGGAAACACAAGAAGTGGGATTCACACATTGGACCCTTGAGGGGAATCGAACCCGGGTCTTCAGTGTGACGAGCAAATGATTTAACCACCAGGCTACCCCACCGCCCCCGAACGTTTTTACGCTTCTACGAAATTTGTGAAATCAAAAACATTCCACGCATGCGCTTTTCCTTATTTGGCCTTATTTACCATTTTACCCTAGAACCTATGTCTAGGTGAATGTATTTAGTTACACGGACAACAGAGGTTGGGGAGGGGAGGGGTGTTAAAGAGGGCGAAACCTCCCTTTTCAAAATTTGAAGACACTAAGCTCATTCATGAATGCAATTTCTATTTACAGAAAAAAAATTAAATAAGTGAACTCGTCAAGTGTTTCAAATACCTGTATCGGTTCATCTAAACCTAGATATTTCCCTTTCAGCTTTATCATTGTGCTTTACATATTTTGCAACGCCATACACATCCCTCACTCCTTAAGTCCCTCATGCATAACACAATTCGCACACTTACAGCAAACCGCCCCAAACGGCCCCCCTCTCACTAATCCATAATCCTCCCCTTGTCCCTGCACACACCATACAAATCATCATGCAACATGCACAATCCTACTGTTAGACATTAGAGACAAAACTTACTGACAAAACTGACAAATAATGAAATACTTCGACGTGAAGATGTCTGTAGTAACAAGTCCATATAAGTTAGGTGACATGTTTGAGCACGTGACATGTTACGTCATTTATGTACCGCCAACAAACAACATGAAGTCGAGGCAACCAGGAAACGACGTCACTATCTAAATTTCTCGGTCCCTCCAGGGGCAGAGTTTTGGACCCTACTTTACGCGTCCAGGTCATTTTAGGGTCAGATTGTCTAAAAAAATGTATCCATACGGATTTCGATAAGTTAGCTGGTACTAGCTAATGTAAAGGTGACGATATCAAAGGCAGAGACCCAAATACTGCACTTGACCCTGTTGACAGCAGTTGTATATGTGGACATGATATAGTGTATTCTTTTTGTAGATACTGCTTGGTGTTATATATCCACAATTTAGTTGTGTGTGTTGCGTTTGTAGACACTGTTTCGTATGTTGTGATATGGCTGAAATATTGCAGAGGTGACGTTAAATTCTAACTCACTCACTCACTTGTATGTTGTGTTCATTGACGTGGTCATGTGTGTTGTGTTTGTAGACACTGTTTCGTAAGTTGTGTTCATTGACGTGGTCATGTGTGTTGTGTTTGTAGACACTGTTTCGTATGTTGAGTTCCTTGGCATGGTCCTGTCTGTTGTGTTTGTAAATACTGTTTGGTATTTTGTGTTTCGTGACTTGGTCCTGTTTGTTGTCTTTGGAGACACTATTTGGTGTGTTGTGTTTGTAGACACTGTTTCGTATGTCGTGTTTGTAGACATGGTTTGGTGTATTGTTTATAGACGCTGGGCAATGGACTCCAGAGACCATTTCTTCTCCCTTGCGGCATCAGGGGCGTCATCAGAATCGGGTACCGGCTTTGTCTCCGGCTACCTTCTGCAGGACACACCTGAGGTGGGGGTCGATAACATAGCGTAGCAAAAGTATAACTAAACTGACGGGTAAAACAAAGTATACACCCACGGTTCATAGTTTCCAAAAATATGGAAAATATGAAGAGAAAAATATGATTAAAAATGAAATTGTGATTCGATGGTGATGTATTTCATAACAGTATCAAAGTTGTGTTCGAGACCTTACGTTTGAAGTATTTCAGCGAATGTTTCCAATAACGTTTAGTTAGACACATTAAAACATTTTAATAACGTTTCTAATTCAAATCCAATTTTTCAGTGTTTTATTCTTTTGTCAGGCAGTTTTCGTATACACAATTTGCAGTCGTGAAGTTTTGTAGGATTTCTACGTTCACATCCATGAATTACGTGTTAGCTGTCGTTGTGCTGTAGACATGTCAAATAAAGTATACTGATGTAGACACTAACAAAACGTCGTATGTCAGAGATTAAACATATGCCGAAAATGTAAATATACATTCTATGTTAGACATCTACTGTTACAAACAGGATTTTACCATTCTCGTCACATATTCTTCTTATAACTCAACTAAACATATCTTACCTAATCACACATAAGGCTTTATCAGAATATTGAGTAACATTCATTGTTTGTCAAACAGATTTAATACACAACACAGTGTGATATTTGGTCATATTGAGGACCAATAATATTTCCTGATGCCGTTCATGTATATTATAATGTGAGCAAAAACAGCTTATTCAAGAATAGTTTCATAGTTTATCACTCACGAATAAAACTGTCTCAATTAATTCCTTCCAGTGTATACACATTCACGTCCATGCTTTACTTCACATCCAATTCCACATCCATTATTATGTTCACATCCAATTCCACATCCATTATTATGTTCACATCCAATTCCACATCCATTATTATGTTCACATCCAATTCCACATCCATTATTATGTTCACATCCAATTCCACATCCATTATTATGTTCACATCCAATTCCACATCCATTATTATGTTCACATCCAATTCCACATCCATTATTATGTTCAAATCCATGTTTATATTGACATCAATGTTTACATTCACATCCATCATGTAGTCACATCTATAATTATGTTGACACTCATATAATTGTATTCTCATCTATGCATATATATTCACAAAGAATTTACATTTACATCGGTATTTACATTTACATCCATGTTTCTATTCAAATCCATCTTTACGTTCAGTTTCAAGTTTATATTTCCATTATTTTACATTAACATTCTCATACATATATACGTTTACATTCATGATTACATTCAAATCTATTCTATATTAACATCCATATATACGTTTACATTCATGATTACATTCAAATCTATTCTATATTAACATCCATATATACGTTTACATTCATGATTACATTCAAATCTATTCTATATTAACATCCATATATACGTTTACATTCATGATTACATTCACACCCTTTATATATTCACACCCACATTATATTCATTTCCATGTTGGCATATGTTCAGTTCCCGGATGTTACATCCCTGTTCGTGGTGTGTGTTTCAGGGGGGTGTTCTGGAGGACATAGTGTTACACTTTAGACGACTGTCCCAAGAGGAAATGACGCGCTTAAACTTCAAGCAACGGTAAAATAGATTAATTGCTCTTGAGATAAGCTTTTAGACTGTAATAAGTGCAAGAGCTTTTCAACATGTCTGTCTGTTCAGACGGTATAAAGACATGTTGAAATTGTAATTTCCGTTACAATCCGTGGTTCGATTCCAATAACATTTCTGATTCTGATGACTATAGGTTTTCAACGTGATTGTGGATTTCACCAAAGTGGTAATTCTCTTTATTAAGGACCCGTGAAGGCCCGGGTTAGAATATTGATCTTCAGTACCCCATGATTGTCGTAAGAGGCGACTAATGGGATCGGGTGGTCAGGCTCGCTGACTTGGTTGACACATGTCATCGGTTCCCAATTGCGCAGATCGATGCTCATGCTGTTGATCACTAGATTGTCTGGTCCAGACTCGATTATGTACAGACCGCCGCCATATAGCTGGAATATTGATGAGTGTGGCGTAAAACTAAACTCACTCACTCACTTAATTAAGCATTACCTCACCCATTTACCTGATACTTCGTTACATAATTGAAATATGGCAGCGTAGAACCAATTCACTCTTTCAATCACAGAATTATGCGCTGTACAATTATTATCGGTGCATGTGTGTAAGTGAGTTGATGAGTTTAGCGACGCTTTAAACAGCATTTCAGTCATATTTCGGCGACTCAGCTTAATGTCTGCGGAAAGCTCGAAGTGATACAGGCCTCACGTTTACCACTTAAGTGAAACCAACGGGTACAGGAATGGCGCTGACAAACCAAACAACAAGAGTACGGTGAACCAGGACTCGAACCCACAATAGGTTTCCAACATGCCCAAGGAACGTACAAACTGCGACAAATTGCGCTGACGTTTGGGCCACCCGTGCCCATAGGTGCTTGTCAGGAATTCTAGAACTATATACTCAACCAAATAAAGTTAAGGACAACCCCAATTTTCAATATTAAAGTATTTAATAGTTCATATTATGAACCATGTCATACTATAATAGTATTATTTGGGTGGTCCTTAACATTTTTTGTTGAGTATAGTATATACGACCATTTGTATGATTATCACTTCAGTTATTGTCATTTTGATTTGAAAACTTATGCTGTTTATATTGCTGTTTATATTGCTGTTTCAGTTATTGCTATGTTTATACTACTGTCATCACAGAAATGAAGAAGTACCTCAAGTGGCTTGCGGCAAGGTAACTAGTGAAAATATTGTTACAAAGACATGGACCGGTATTCTATAGCAGGGAGGGATCAGTACTTATATAGCACCCGCCATTTGGTTTCACAACTGTACATTCCATACGACCCATAACAGTGTGGACAGGCGACTTCTTTATTACCATGGATGCGACGTGTTGCTGTAGATGCTAGTATTGCTCGTTTGATAGCCGTGTTAGCATTTTCGCCGAAGTGTCGCATCTATTGCAGTAAAGAAGTTCTCTATCCATAAAAACTTGTTCCTGTTCATCATACCAGCTTCTAAATGCCACTCAAAGAAGACAGTATGTTAGTTGTCCAATATATTTTTCATGCATACGCGTGTGCTGTTTAATTATTCCAGGGAGACTATATAACGTTGTAGATTATCCCTGGTTATTCTGATGCTGAGTGGTAAGTTAAAGGGACACGGTTAAATGCTAACCCTTTTCGCGAACACCTGGTGTTATCAGTTGTTTTAAGTGATCCATTCACTGCTATTTGGTGTTTAACCAAAGGAATCTGATTCCGCGGGTAATTGAGACTGGTTATATTCTGGCATTGACGTTGTGTGTTCAGGTTAACATTTCACACGTTTTCCTTCGCCTTGAAATGGCACACTCGAAACTCGGAATTGTCAGGTATACGTTCTTCTGCCCTCAGTCTACTTGTCACTTACTGTAATGCTTAAATATAAAATATTTCAGTGAGATGTTGTTTTTGCTATGATCACTATGAAGCTCTGGTTTTGTTTTATATCAGAATTGTTGAACGAGGAGGAAGAATACAGAGAAGAAAGCTTTCGTCCCTCCAGGAAGTAAGACACTTTGAGCTTATTACCCAAACATCGTGGAGACAACTGTTTTGAAAGGAGATGTAAATGTATCAACATATTTGAGTAATGTCCCTTGGATGGCACAGGTATAAGTCCAAGATTACTTCGGATTAATCTTGGTTTTACGCCACCATCTGTTATTAAGCAAAGGCACAGGGTCCCGATCCACAAAACGTTCGTACCGCTACGACATTCGTAAGCCTATGATAAACTATAGAGTTACGACAGGTCGTAACGTTACGAACGCTTTATGGACCGGAACCCTGGGCGCTGTTGTACAAAGCAACTTAGCGCTGAGGTGACCGTAGCTCCCATACCTTAACACAGACTTAATGTAGTCTTAGCGCCAAAGTTCTTTTGTATAACGGCACCCAGGTCTTTAACCTACGTATGCTTTTAATGTAGTCCGCTCTAACTTTGACCCGCCTTGTCAAAACTGCAATATACAATGTCACTTAGTTGTGCGCCCTATACCATATCTGTCATATAACCACCTCACTTATTGTGGCAGTTTGTGTTGGTACACAAAAAGTAGGGGAACCTGACCTTTCAATTTTTAAAGGTATAAGTATAAGCGTTATCACACTTTTCAAAGACAGACATCTTTTGAACGCACCATCATTTCCTTTTATCACCACCCATAAACACAACGCGTGGGATGCACGCGCACAACGCCGTGGCCCCATACACGTGCATGGGCTTCTTGATTTTGACGATTTTCAAAAAGGTCGATAAATCACTGTCGACCCTTTATTTTGACAATCATCATGCATTACACAGTTGCAATTGTAAGTGTTTGTTTCCAGTCGGTTTTTGTTGTTGTTTTGTTTTGGGTTTTTTGTTGGTTTTTTTGGTTTTTTGTTGTTTTGTTTTGTTTTTTGTTTTTTGGGGGGGTTGTTGTTGTTTTTAAAATGAAAATGGTACACACGCAAATTTCACGTCATACACCAATCATCTTTCAAGAGCGATTGCTGTACAAACAAGAAAGCAAGTGCAAGTGGTGATGCACTCTCAAAACATTCATTATTATCATATCAACATTGATTGACTTCTGTATTTCTCCCAGGTTTTTTCAATCGTAAATTAAAAAAGAAGTTCCCCTACTGTTTTAAGAGTATATAACTGCATTACTAACGTTCATTCGCTGTGATATGTGTGGAATACGCCCTGCGTTGTATCTGGACAACCTCCCTCACTAACCCTAACGCGCTCTTATATAACTTTAATGTAAGCATCTCACTAACTCTGCCACATCGTAGTCTGTTGAATAACATCATCACTAATTCTGACACGGTATGTTAAACCTGCAATGTAACCAACTAAGCTACTTTGTCCCGGTGTGTTTTAACTAATATATTTTGCTCAATGACTCTTCCACGTCGTGTTATAACTGTAAATCTTCACCTCAGTAACTCAGACACGCTGTGTTATAACTGTAAATCTTCACCTCAGTAGCTCTGCCACGTCGTGTTATAACTGTAAATCTTCACCTCAGTAACTCTGACACGCTGTGTTATAACTGTAAATCTGCACCTTAGTAACTCTGACACGCTGTATTATAACTGTAAATCTTCACCTCAGTAACTCTGCCACGTCGTGTTATAACTGTAAATCTTCACCTCAGTAACTCTGCCACGTCGTGTTATAACTGTAAATCTTCACCTCAGTAACTCTGACACGCTGTGTTATAATAACTAGAATACCTTCTTCACTAGCCCAGCCACACTTGGTTATACCTTTAACAGGACACGGGTTTTAGAACTTAATATAACACATGTTAAGATCGTTACATACAGCCTTAACTGACACGTTGTGTTATTACTGTAATATGCCGCCTTCACTGACACGTTGTGTTATTACTGTAATAGGTTAAGCGTTATGACTGTAATAGGTCAAGTGTTATTACTGTAATATGCCGCCTTCACTGACACGTTGTGGTATAACTGTAATAGGACAAGTGTTAAGACTGTAATATGTCAAGTGTTATGACTATAATATGCCGCCTTCACTGACACGTTGTGGTATAACTGTAATAGGTCAAGTGTTATGACTGTAATATGCCACCTTCACTGACACGTTGTGGTATAACTGTAATAGGTCAAGTGTTATGACTATAATATGCCGCCTTCACTGACACGTTGTGGTATAACTGTAATAGGTCAAGTGTTATGACTGTAATATGCCGCCTTCACTGACACGTTGTGGTATAACTGTAATAGGTCAAGTGTTATGACTATAATATGCCGCCTTCACTGACACGTTGTGGTATAACTGTAATAGGTCAAGTGTTATGACTGTAATATGCCGCCTTCACTGACTGACACGTCATGTTGTAACTTTTCAAGAACTCACTCACTGATGGAAACGCCATATTGTATCTGTAATGTGGCAATTGTTATACCAAACTGTAATATACCGTCCTATCTCCATAATGTGAACAGTTTTATGACTATAATATATGTATCATGTCTTCGCTGCCTGACAAGCCCTGACTGATCTATTTGCATACGCATAAAGTGGGGCGCGCTGATCTGTAACAGCAGAACATTGGCAACAGACACTACAGCTTAATCAATGATATAGAGTTTCTGCCTGTATCACATCGTTGGCAAATTAATTCAGAAATACACTCTGGCACATTTGACAAGGTAGGTATGTTAATCTGGGACACTTGAAAATTCACTATGCGGATCTTCAGTTTTACATACGGTCTAGTCATACGAATATGTGTGCATCGAATACACACCTAGAGACAGTGACAGGCGTAATGATGAAGTAGATAAGATTTTACAATATTTATGGAAAGTACCTGCACTCTACTGCAAATAGACACGCATCAGTGAGCGTCCGCCAGTGCATTCACAATGACATCAACGGTCTACTCCCATTTGTGAGAACTCCCAGTTGTGAGACTCCCAGTTCTGAGACAGTGGAGTAGGTAATTAGCAAAGAAGACACACCTTACTCCCCTATCTGACAGAATGGATTAACCTCAGCTAATTATGGATTAGTTATTTAACTGAATCTTGTGGAGGTAACTTAATGAAACTCTAAAAGATAAAGTAATTAACCTACTCAGATAAATGGCTTTAAAAAATAAACATTTTGTGTAGGTAACTTCGTGATCATTTGAAAGAGAAATTAATTTACCTTCTCAGATGTAGGTGTTTGAAATATCTAGCAATAACTGTTGTAACTATAATTAATCCAAATGTATTTATTAACCTGTGGCTGCTCTTTCCGATCACCATTATGGCAGGCCTTCAACAAGTAGAATATATCACCAGTTCACGATAATCTTTTTCAGTATTTCAGTATCTATTGAAAACAATAAATGCTCTTCAACGAACAATGTCTTCTGTGTTGATTAACTCATTAATGAACTATGCCTCCTGCGGGTACACTTCAACAACAGGGCTGTTCCCACTTTCATCGTAGGGATGGGGAAGCACCACCTGTGTGCACTGAACCATTAATTAATGTGTCTCACAACTGGGAGTTCTCACAAATGGGAGGACACCACATCAACATAAACAGGAAATATAAAACAGCGTCACTAAATTCCTACAATTACTCGCATCAAGTTGTAACAGCATCGGCAAATTCTTACAATTACTCGCTTCAAGTAGTAACAGCGTCGGTAAATACCTACAATTACTCACTTCAAGTTGTAACAGCGTGTTTAAATTCCTACAATTACTCGCTTCAAGTTGTAACAGCGTCCGTAAATTCCTACAATTACTAGCTTCACGTTGTAACAGCGTCGGTAAATACTTACAATTACTTACTTCACGTTGTAACAGCGTCGATAAATACCTACAATTACTTGCTTCAAGTTGTAACAGGGTCGTTAAATACCTACAATTACTTACTTCACGTTGTAACAGTGTGGGTAAATACCTACAATTACTCGCTTCAAGTTGTAATAGCGTCGGTAAATACCTCCAATTATTCGCTTCAAGTTGTAACAGCATCGGTAAATTCCTACAATTACTCGCTTCAAGTTGTAACAGCGTCCGTAAATACCTACAATTACTTACTTCACGTTGTAACAGTGTGGGTAAATACGTACAATTACTCGCTTTACGTTGTCATAGCGTCGGTAAATTCCTACAATTACTCGCTTCAAGTTGTAACAGCATCAGTAAATACCTACAATTACTCGCTTCAAGTTGTAACAGCGTCTGTAAATACCTACAATTACTCGCTCAAGTTGTAACAGCATCGGTAAATAACTACAATTACTTACTTCAAGCTGTAACAGCATCGGTAAATTCCTGCAATTACTCTCTTCATGTTGTAACGGCATCGGTAAATTTCTACAATTACTCGCTTCAAGTTGTAACAGCATCAGTACACAGCAAAAATAACTTAGTTTCCGTTCTTGCGGAAACCTAATTAATACTGGGTAATGTAGGTTTCCGCTAGGTTTCAGTATCCGGAAACAGACAATGCGAGTTTCTGCATAGTTTACAAAACTGAAACTAACAAATCTAGGTTTCCGTCAAGTTTCTACAACTGAAACTATCATTATGCGTTTCTGTTTAGTTTCAGTTCGCTGAAACATTCATAGCAAAATGACTTAGTTTCCGCTATTGCGGAAACCTATTGAATACTGGGTAATGTAGGTTTCCGCTAGGTTTCTGTTGGTTTCAGCTTAGATGAAATGGCAAACTTAGCTTTCTGCTGTTCCATTGGGGGACAATATTTACTTACTGTTACATTTGCAAGATAATTTCTATATACAGAATCCAGCTAGGGTCCATGCAGGAAGCAAAAGTACTGTACGTTCCCGTAGTCCCTAGTATGTTGATCAACCTTCAGGTGTTGGCAATCTATAGCCCATTTTTATACTGTACCGTTAAAGTGTTTATGGTTACATGCCAGTTTTTAGTGTACATTTGTGATAGACTAGTTATTTTACTGTCCTTAGAAGACAGGTGGGTATATAAGTTTGTTTTTATGTCATGTACACATTTACA